ATTCTTTCTTTTCTTTAACGTTGAGTTTAACATTTCTCTTTATTCAATTGCTATTTTAGTTTTAATGATTTCCAATGTCTTGACAGTGGAGAAAAGCAACAAAAATGCAGGTGATTAATTTTTAATAGTTTATTTATTTTTAATAGTTTATTTATTTATGAGTTTTATTTATTGTTGGTTAATGAAAGAGAATTTTCCATGCTAACAAAATCATTAATAAATTCATGCTTTTGAGGAGTCGAGGAAAAGTTATATACAGATCTGTAATTTCTGGCAGTAATATTAATACTACATATATACTATATTAGAGATCTGTAATTTCTGGGAGTAGAGTAAATGTGTTATAGGGAATGCTATACAGGGAGCATGAATATAGTAGGCATCTGTTTATCTCACGAGATAAAAGGAAGCACCCTGTTTGGTCAAAATTCAGACCGTAGGTGGTGAAACTGAAGTGACCTCTACAGGGTGCAGGCCTGGGTGATGGTATATGGAGGCCATGCGCTCCCCAGACTACATGCCCCACCCCGCTCAGCTAGAAACCAAGGCAAATTATGAAATAGTTGTGCATAAATAAAAAAACATACATGAATAAGCATTAATATATTATCAGATTTTTAAATTCGTCATTTTCAAGAGGACACCTTGAGTAAAGACGTACCTGTATATTACCATGTCTTCTGACATCCATCTGAGCAAATGAGCATACATCTCCCACTCCAACCACATCAACAGTAAAGTTGCGGAGGAAATCAACAATTTCTAGGGATTTTGGTCGTATCCAAAAGCAGAGAATTATTGGTGTAACAATTGGACTAATCAGTTCTTCCAGTAAATAAACCTAAAGAACATTAGAGGAAAAAGAAAGTTTTGAGAAGTTTTTAAAAATAATGTATTTTTCAAACAAATAACATTGAATATATGTCAGTATTTATGCTACTATGATATATATATATATATATATATATATATATATATATATATATATATATGAAGAAATATAGTTTTAAGGTGTGCTATATTTATGGGATAAAGTGCTCAATGTCAGAGATAGAGCGTATGTAAATATAAAAATATAAAAGCATGAAACAGCCTGTTGTCTCTGAGTGTTGACTTCAATGTTCACTTATATATATATATATATATAATAAAAGGCTCAAACACTAATATTCCATGGTTATAATTTATTATATTGGAATCATAATCACAATCCAATTCATCAGACGTGCAAATTCAAAAAACTTTTTGAATTTGTCCTGGACATTGAGCTCTTCTTGGGTTCTATCCTCTTGGAAATATAATTCAATGAAAACAGACAACTTTAAGGATCCATTGGTTATAATTTATTTCCCCAGGGAATTTCTTTTTCCCTGGCTCATCAGACCACACTCCCAAAGGTGAAAAAAAAAAATTTAAATTTACATATAGTTTTTATAGACTTTTGAGGTGTAGTTTTAAGTTGATGTAAGGTGATATAGAGAGTGGGGAGAGAGAGAGTGTGACAGACATGGTTGAAATTAGAGAGGGAAAAAAAAACCTGTCCATGGAAATTCTGAAAATCTAAATTATCTATATTTGGAATAATACCCGATGTCTCTTTATATAAATTTAATTATTTATATTATAATATATACACATTTGTATATGGACATATGTATGTTGATATACAGTAGCGGCCATAATATAAGGGACGGAAACAACAAAGACATAAATATGTGTATTACTTAAAAAGTAATGCATGATTAGCAATGAAATTTTTACCGAATAAAGATTAGGATGTAATGCATAAATATCATATAAAGTTACAAAAATTTACATAATAGTTTTTTTTTTTAAATAAAGATTAAATGGACCAAAGGAAATAAGCTACTGGACAAAAGTTAAGGAACGATGTTAATAATTTGCATAAATTTTTAATTTACATTGTTAAAAAACTCAATGGAGCTTTTCAACAATAAGTATATCTTTGTTGCCATATTTATCACAGTGTTTCGTCCGTTTCATTTATCATTACGACTTTATTTTTAAGCAATATGGCAAATTCTATACGCAAAACTCTCTCTTTTGAAGAAAAAAACTCATTATTGCTAACTATCAAGAAAAAATGTCAATTTCAGAAATTTCTGATATTGTTCATGGGTCTAAAAGTGTCGTTCATTGTGTAATTAGCAGGTGTAAACGATAAAACGTTAGATGCAAAACCAAAAACCGGCAGACCTCCAAAAACATTGCAAAGAGAAGATTGAAGAATTGAAACTGCTACATCAATTGCCCGTAAACTTAATGAAGAGACAGATAATAAGATCTCAAGGAAAACGGTTGCTCGCAGGTTAAAAAATGCAGGATTGCATGCCCGTATTCCAGCTTCGAAGCCTCTCATTTCAAAGTGAAACCAAAGGGCATGCCCGGAGTATGCAAGAGAACATGTTTGGACTGACGTACAATGGGATACAGTTCATTTCAGTGATGAGTCCAAGTTTACTATATTTGGTTCTGAGGGCAAAACTTACGTACGCTGTAGAACAGGTGAAAGACTGTCTTCTCAATGTGTCAAGAAAACCGTCAAGTTTGGTGGCGGCAGTGTGATGGTGTGGGGAATGATTTCATCTGCAGGAGTTGGCCCTATCATCCGCGTACATGGCAATATCAATGCTGAGATTTACAAAGGCTTCTTCAGCAGCATGTGGTACCAAGATTACACCATAATTTTATGAATCTCTATTTTCATGCAGGACAATGCACCTTGCCACAAGGCTCAGAAGGTTATGGCTTTATTTGAAAAAGAAGGAATCGCCCTAATGAAGTGCCCAGCTCAGAGCCCCGACCTGAATCTAATAGAAAATGTTTGGAAGATAATTGGAGAAAGGGCTCAGAAAAGAAACCCGAAAAACCAGGATCACCTATGGGAGTTATTGAAAGATGAATGGGAGGGAATTACTGCTGATTTTTGCAATAAATTAATTAGATCATATGGTCGACGATGCAGAGAAGTCATTGAAAATAAGGGGATGTTTACCAAATATTAAATTTTGTTGATATTTTGTTCACAATCGAGTATTAACAAGATCGTTCCTTAACTTTTGTCCAGTAGCTTATTTCCTTTGTTCTATTTAATCTTTATTTAAAAAAAAAAAAAAAAAAAAAAAACTTTTATATATAAATTTTTGTAACTTTGTATAATATTACACCCTAATCTTTATTCGGTAAAAATTTCATTGCTAATCATACATTACTTTTTAAGTAATACACATATTTATGTCTTTGTTGTTTCCGTTCCTTATATTATGGCCGCTAATGTATATCCGTATAATTAGGCTAACATTTATAGGTGTCCATATGGTAATTACAAGCATATACACATATGTTGGTGTATATATATATATATATATAATATATATATATATATGTAGGTGTATTTACTTGCTTGTATTTGGATGTGAGAATGCTTGCATGCACACACGCATGTGTATGTGGGCAATGTATATGTATATGTGTGTGTGTATGTGCATATATATGTATGTGTGTATGTGTGTATGTATATATATATATATATATATATAAAAAATAAAAGGATGCATGTGTGAGTATAAGGATATGTATCGATACATGTGTATGTGGTTATGTATGTATATTTATGTAGATATGTAGCATGTAGTGTGTATGTGCCTATATATATATATATATATATATATATATATATATATATATATACAAAGTGTTAAAGATAATACTTTGTTATTACCTTTAAATCTCGTTTCATTACAAAATATATTGCAAATTAGATTCGAAGACTTAGACTTTAATTAGGAACTATTACTCCTTAACTGTTATTCACAATATTAAGAATATTAATAATAGCAATATTTTTTCTTCATTGATCTTATATTCAAAATATATTTATTTCCTAGCTTAATTTCTTGAAAAATCAAAACGCTTAAATTACGGTCAAACATTAACAGCAAAATATATAAATCTGAGATTTTGCAAATTAGCCACAATATGCCCAGATACATTAATTCTCTTATTATTCCTTTCCAACTCTCTATTCCCCTGTCCCCTAATTCCACTTCTGATTTCTTACATCTTTACTTCTCTTTTTTCTCTCTATATCGTTTCCTGTGAGATGACCTATTAAATAGGTCAATGTCTGGCCCTTACCCCCTTTCCTGACTATTAAGTATTGTAATAAAATCATTCCTATCTCTCCCTTCCCTCTCTAATTTCAACCATGTCTGTCACACTCTCTTTATCACCTTACATAAACTTAAAACTAACCCTCAAAAGTGTAGAAAAACTATATGTAAGTTAAAATTAATTTTTTCACCCTTGGAAGTGTTAAAAAATAATAGTTGGACTTTGTCCATTTCATAATGTATAACATCATTTGTTTACATTTGGATATGCATTGAGCAGATATGAATGAATGAGAGAAAATCATGGAGAATTGTCTTTAAAAACAGTAAAATTGACCTTGCTAACCAAACGCTCCTCTGTGGCCAAATTGGTAAAAGCACGTCAGGCTATATGATGGTTTCGTATAGGATACATGTTCGATTCCTGTTGGAGGATGTATATTTTCTATGAAAATTTCTTGGACATTCAGGCTGGTAAATGTTGTTAATAAGCAGAGAATTTACTTAAATATTTGTATCTATAAAAAGAACATATAAACATAAAAAATGTCTTAAAATATATGTGTGTGTGTGTGTGTGTGTGTGTGAGAGTGAATGAAGACAAAAAGAAAAATTTCTTTACCAACACTTTTAGTCCTCAAAGCAAATGTAAGGATTTTATTTAATGATATGTATTTATAAACAGAAGTAAAAATAATGTTTGGTGTTCAAAATTTTTAAATTTAAGAACACTCAAAATTATTCTCAAGGCAAAGTATATTTTTAAATTACAGGCAAAAAATGAATAAAGATTGTGTGTACTTGGAATAGTATTTCTTAGTTGGTGTCCCTCATCCAATTCTAGTTAAAGGAAAATTATAATATTATGTTTGATGGAAAAGAAAGTCAAACTTAACTGTAGAACAAAATGCTAGAACAAATTCATAGGTCAGAATTTGGTCTTTGAAGGCTTGTTTGCATTATTTGACACTTCCACCAATTCTATCACAAGCGGATTTTTCATGACTGATGGCAAGAAACAACTAAACAGCATCAAGACCAAAATCAATTTCATGGTTAATGAAATTTTCAGTTTTTGCATTGGCCAGCATATCCATCACTAAAATATAATATTAACCATATGTTAAGTAAGTGCATTATAATATAGCCTGAAATGATTCTCTGCAAGTCATGAACAAAGCAAGCATCATGATCCAGATCATCAGAAATGAAACAATGATTAAAATTACAGCCCATTTTTTCTATCCTTGAAATACACCACACACCACATGCTGATTCCTTGTCTAATGATAGTTTTGTATTTAAATTTATACTCTTGTGAAGTTATAATAAAATAAAACTGTAAAATTGACAAAAGAAGTGGTTAGAAAAGAGCATTACATGGGTTGAAAATGTAAAAAATATTGACTATATAAGACTCGAGATTGTCAAGATTTAGAAAGAAAGAAAAAAAAAAACAATCATTAAAACTGTTATTGGTACAGTGGGTCATGCATTCAGCACTTCAAGTAATATACCTACCTTCTTGTAAATTCAAGATCCACGAAAATCGAGTATTAAGACTCATGTCAGGATTTCAAGTTTGCCATTGAATTTAAAGAGCAGTCAAAAGATGACATGTCTAGAGCTGGAAGGAATTTAAAAAATTTAATGCCTCCAAAACAAAACTGCTAATCAACATAGAAAACCATTTTAGCATTCCATCAGATGTTCGATGCTAACCTCCAGAGAAGCAATTCATTGCACCTACTTGATTTCACATTTTCCACTCATACGAAGTGGAGTGAATATATTGAATCAGTTGCTAGCTCTGTTGCTAGGGAAGTGATGATGTCATTGATGACACTTCAATGTTTCATTTCTTATATTGAAGGATCAATAAATGTCTGCATAAAATGAAATCAAGCCTTTAAAATTGGCATTGTTTACTGAAGAATCTGTGTCTCTATTTAATTAAAGATGAGAGGATATTGTCTAGAATAAGTTCAAGGATTTCTGAATAAACAAAATTTTTCCATTTCTAATTACAGGCTATAATATATGCAATATAAGAAAAAGAAATAAAATATCTGTGAGATGAAAAGGTAAAGAAACATTAACATCAACTTCACTAGCAAAATCAAATAAAATTAACCCATTACTAAGTAAAGCTTCTTTAAAAACTTTAGCTCTTTTAGCCGAATCTACCTTGCTGGATATAGGTAATATTAGAGTTGGCAGATTTTAAATTTTTGGTCACCCCTAAGAAAATGGACACCATACATTGAATGTGTTGTGAATGGATACAAATTCAATAGTCAAAAATAAAAAGTAATACCATTTTGTAGTTAGCTTTCAGTTTTAGATAATTCAAATTTTTTTACAATAAAAATGTTTTCTATAAAAATAACAAAAATGGATAACTCTTGAAACACTACACATACACATATATCCCAGATAGACATTTGTTAAGCTAAACCAACATTGGTAGAGAGATAGATCAACTGAACATTCAATGGCAACTGAACTCACCAGTTTATGAGATTAGTATATTAACCCTGGTTCTATATAGATTCTGAATATAAATTAGTACAAGAAATTTGATAGATATTCAATACTTACAAATCTATATTGGAAAAGTTGAGCAAATTCATCCCTAACCCAATTTGTATGAGCATTTAAATTCCAATTATCAGGCATGTAATGTATGTTTCTTAGAATTGATCTCATTAGACTTTCAGGGTTGTAAACTTCATGCTGAAAGAAAAATGAAAGAAAATTGATGATTTCAATAACCAAAAGAATGTTTAGCATGCTGATAATTTACCAATATTTTAAATATATTCACAGTAATACTTTTGAGATAACAACAAATATTTTTAAATGATTAAATAATTTTTAAAATTAACAACTGAAGTGAATCTCAGATAATTCTTCAAGTATTTCATTAATAATTGCTTTTGGAGTTCTTTGGAAGACATTTTGTTAAAGGGGAAAAGCAACATTTTAAAACGAATAGCTAATATTTTATTTCTAGATATATATTTTCTGTTATGTTAATTGAAATTGAAGGAAAAGAGAAGAAAAATTGAAATATACCTCTGGAGGAATTGATTTATGAAGAGTGGCAGTGAGAAAACCTGCAAAGATAATTATAAGTGAATATATTATGTTCCCATCTAAACATCAGGAATATATTGTGAACTATTATGTCCCATCTTCAGAATGGAAAAACCAACATTGCTGTTCATAATAAAGTAGAACTGTTTAAAATCAGATAATATCCTTCTCTTTTCAATTGTGACATTGTTCTGTTATTATATTATTTTAACTATAGTAATTTGTCATTATCTAATTAACTTTTATTCAATTAAAAAATATCTGCCAAAAATAAATAAATTATAAATGAATTAAAATGAAATATTCCATAATAAACATATTTCAGATAAATAAAGTACCAAATTAAGAGAAAATAAGAATTAATTATTATTTGAAAAAAAAAAAAAAAAAAAAGGTGTTAATTCAATTATTGCTTTCTTAAAGTATTTCTGAGATGAGGTATTATGTACACTATTAACATTATTCTTTGTCTCCATATTTATTACAACGTTTTGGCCTTCTTAGTTGGTTGGAATGTCGAACCCATTTTTGCTCACTGGGGTAGACTGTTCTAGTTCCATGTGCCATGTCTAATGGATGTCAGTTATTAGTTATCTCCTGTTAATTTCCATCTCCAAGTTCTCCACCACCATAACCAGGTAGTGGAGAACTTGGAGAGGGAAATTAACAGGAGATAACTAATAACTGACATCCATTAGACATGGCACATGGAACTAAACAGTCTATCTCAGTGAGCGAAAACCACCTAAGAAGGCTGGAGCGTACAACGGCTGAAGCATTGTAATAAATATGAGGACAATAGTCTGAATAATGTAAATAGTGCTTTCTTAATCTTTTTACAGACTAGATACTCAGTGATACACAAATTTGGGTACACCCACAGAAAACATGATACCTAAGGTTTAAAATTAATTTTTAAAAATGAAAAATTTTTCTTAAAGCTTTAATTTTAGTTTTAATTTCAAGCTAAATTAAATTTATTATTTCAATAAGCAAAATACTTTACTGTATTTTAAAAAAAAAATAATTTAAAATGACTGGAAAGAGTTGTTTTTTTTTTTAGGGGTAAAATAGCTGATTAGTGCCATTTTTTGTCATCTTTCATCACAATGTAATTCTCTTTATTAAAAAATCTTCCAAAAATAAAATATACTTTCCTGAAACTTTATTTTAGTAATATTAACTGATTTAAAGTATAATTAATCTAATTTGAAACAAATTTTATGGATGGATGTTGGATTTAACGGCATGTCAACTCCTCAAATTTTATGCATTTTTTAAACACAGTGGTAGTGTTGATAGCTTGATGATAGATTGATCTTTATTTAATGTTGTTCTACCAGGGATTTATCCATAAAAAAATAATTGAACAATATAATCTGAGCACCTTTTATATATAATTTTTAAGTATTCAGTAATCTTAAAAATTTAGGAAATATTCTCTGTTGTGTATGAAAATCCATATCTACAAAAATTGGCATATTTATACACATACAAAATTCAAAATTCTTTTAAAATATTAGTGTTTGATAATTTGTACTCAGCTTTTCCATTTATGATTAGTAAATATAGTTTTTACTTAAATTATCTCATCTAAAAGGGTAAAATTAAGACAGAATTTTAAACTATTTAAAACTTAAAATCATTCTAATTAATATTTTAAAAAAATGAAACCAAATCATGTAAAAATTCATTAACCATCCAGAAAATGTTTTTTCTTAAGACAATAGTGTCCTTAATAAATCTTATTTATAAAAGCAATTAAAAACTTTTCTATTTAAATAATGTCTTAGCTTTATTACATTTTTTATTTTCAATTCAGAAGATTTTTGGTAAATGATGTTTCCCCTGTGTATTGATGATTTAAATTTTCTAAGGAGTCCTGCTTTTGACTAATATAAATATGAAGAGAGTGGAATTTTAATTTCTTGAAATTTCATAGATATTAGTAGACCTATTTGTAAATTCTAATTTTAAGAAAAGCACAACTAACTTATTTCTCAGCCATTTTATAGCAACAAGAGCTGTTTTTTTTAATCATTTCACCTCCAAACAAAGAAATAAAGCCAATAAGACACATGTTACTGAGAGTGAAAGAAATTGAGAAAACATTACTGAGGTGAGAAGACAATAAAAGAACAGGATTCACTTTTGAAGATTATAGTTGACAGGAATCTAAGAAACCAGAAGAAAGTTTCACAGACGAAAAGTATGAGAGAAGAAACTATTGGAATAGAAATTACAGTTGCATTTAGCAATTTTAACAGTAAAATAATGAGACCTAACTACCAATTTATGCTTAAATTCATGAAGTCGAGGAAACAATTGCCATGAAAATATTTATAGAAAAGGCATAGGGAAGCTACATCATTGTGTTGGGAAAGTAATTGAAGCTGAGATGCCAGGTCAGGACTGATCATATAGCAAATTCTTCTTTTTATTTAATTGCTAAGAAACTCTACATACATAACAGAAACACTAAACCAGATGTGGCAACAATATTCAATGCACGGATGAATGGTAGGTACAAAATAGATCCCGTAGAGATAAATTGTCTAGCACAACACCATTAACCAACTTTCTTAGCAACTGACCCAATATAATCATTCCAATTCTCATCAGTGGAAAATGTTAGACCAAGAAGACACAGTGAGTTACTCTTCTGAATGTTAGCATCAGCCATGCTGACAGAATGCAAAAAGGGTTCTCTAAGACAATTAAGAGACTAGTTTCATTTTGAAGGAGCTCAAATTTACAAGCCATTTCTTACCCTAGTTGACAACTGATTTTATGTCATTTTTGTGGTTAGCTGTCAATTTGACTTTATCAAACCTATCAGACTTATCATTAAGACAGGAGTAAATAGCTGTATCATCAGCATAGAATTTAAACATGAGATCAGGAAGGTTGTTGATCAAAATTAAGAACAAAGAATAGAGACCTAGGGGACACTCACATTTATATTGAATGATCTAGAAGAGTGGTCATTTAAGACAACCTTCATTTCATGATTTGATAAGAAAGAGTAAATAAAATATTCAGCCAGAAATACCATAACTCTTCAACTTGTGAAGAAGACCAACATGCCAAACTTTGTGAAATGTCTTCAAGACTCTTTTGACAATAACTGATGACATATTGGCAGTTGACCTAAAAATGTGAAAACTATATTGTCTAATAGACACTGTGAAACACGCTTAACTAATTCATATTGATTAGAGTCTCTAGTACTTTGTCAAAAAGATGCAGATTTGATTTAAGATTCTCAAACTTCAAAAATAAAGACTTATTACATAATTATGTAATTATTAAATGATAATAAAGATACCCACATATTTCACATATATAATTTATACATATATAAAATACAAAAACTAATATAGATTAAATCTATATACAATACTGAGTAAAGTCAGCAAAACTGAAAGAAACATTTTCTCATGATTAAAATGCCTCATGTAAACTAAAAATCACAAAAACTTAAAATTTTTGCTATCTCTATTTTCTAATTTATCAACATATTTGCTTGTTCTACATTTTAATGAAAGCATAAAACTTATCTTCAAACAATATGATTAATTCCAAAAATGATTTGAGAATTTTGAGAAAAGATACCAGTCACTTACCAAATGCTGTCATCAGACCAAACACATATTCAACATCAAACACATCAGAATCAAGAACAGTCAATAAGAAAAGAATGGCAAAGAATGCGCCACTCACAAGAGAACCATATCTGAAAGAAAGATAAGTATGAGAGCATTATAATCATTCTGTAATAATCTATCTGTAGTTTAAAGCAAATTTGGCAAAAGAATATTGATTATATAAAAGCTAAAATAATCACATCTTTTTCTTTTTGCACTTGACAAAATATTTTAGGAAGAGAGTAGCTCCCACAATTCTTTTAAATATGAACAAAAAGTTAAGAAATTTAAATGAGCTCAGATTCAATAACCATAATAGAGCAGAAAAGGTTGACCTGTTTTTAAAAGATAAGGAAGAGAACATGATTTTAACCTCAAAAATGGGTAAAAATAAGTAACCTTAAAAAATGCCTTTTTTTCTTTGTCCATTATCAACACTGATGTTAAACTGACAAGTTAGATTCAGTCACTAGTGATTATATTAATGCACTTTAGTACTTGTTTCTTTACTAACAAAAATGAACAGATTATTATGTCTGTTTTATTTGCATTTCTGCTGAAAAAAGTCAAAGAACATGTTAAATATCTGAATTATGTCTTGTTTTTTGATCTACACTTTCTCAAAATTTTATCAAATGACATTTTCTTTCATTCAAATATACAATGTTCATAAAAATTCAATAGTTTTTAATATTTAAGTTTCAATATTTAATGCACTAATATTTTGAAAAAAAAAACAAATAATATAAGTGACTAATTCAGCTGTTCTGTTAAAACATAATAAAAAGTCAAAGAACATGTTAACTTTAGTTTTAGCTATTTAAAATAGTGACACAAAATTTGGTGAGGTGCAAGCAAATTTTCATTCTGAAAATGCAGCCCAGAGAAAAAAAGTTTGGAAACTACTGATATAAGATATTCTGGTGACATTGTGTTGATGGCAGACTGAAAAGGAAAACTGAAAGGACATTTAAACAAGATAAAAGACAAAGTAAAACTAAAAAGGAAGAACTGTTAAAAATAAGAAGATAGGCTACTGTAAAAAGCTATGACTGTCTACATTCTGAAGTGACATGGCACATATAAAAAAAATAAAAATTTAATTGTTTCTTAACTGATCAAAATTTGAGGCAAACACTCTAATCATCAAGTTTGTATACACTACATTCATTGATATGAAAAGAAAAGTAGGTCTTAACTTATTAACTTACTTGGCAAAAAGAACAAACATTGGTGATGTAAAAATATTCATGTATAATACTGCTGAACTGTATCCACGGCTTAACCTGAAGAGTGAAATAATAAATACAAGTTAAATGAAAAAAATTAAATCTAAAATTCTATAGAGCTATGGTCACATTACAAATATGCATTACAATTTTTCTCCAACAAATTGCATGCAGGGTAAAGATTTTACTTCAAAATATGGACTTAAAAAGAAAATGGTAAAAATAATTCTAAATCCTGACCTTGTGCTTACCTAGCATGGAATTCATGGTCTAATTCATTAAAGTGACGAAGATACAAATGAGCATAATTAGACCTGAAATAAGAAAACAAGTGATGAATTTTTTTCAATAAGCATTTTAAAAATAGAAATATATACATTTTTAAGTTGTGGTCAATCAATCTATTAATTTTTCTTTTTGCATGTTAAAAAAAAAAAAAATGTTACTATCAATAATTATGAAAAGCCGTACAAAAGAATATTCTTTACATTGAGATTTTTCTGTTTAACACTAATATTTTTCTTTCAGTCTGAGATTTTGAAATGACTGATAATAAATCACAAAGATATTGATAACGGGATACTGGCTGTGTTAAGTAGACTATAACTTTGTTAAAGGTTTAACCATGAGTGTGACTGAATGACGTGTATATCTTTTTATCAATGAACAGAAACACAGAGCTATATTAATAATTTAACTCTTGACAGTAACATTTAAGTGTTTTAATAAAATGCATGAGAAATCATTGAAAATGTTAACATATAATTTATATATAAAATAAGAGTATTAACCCTAGAACACTAACCATGGATATATAGTACCCAGCGCAAATGGCATCATTGAGTGTGTGTATGGTTTCCACGCTCTGAGGGGTCCCAGCTGCTTAGTAGCTTCAGTTGCCCACTTGACAGTGTAGGGGAAGGTTTGTGCCATCTCATTCTCTCTACTTTCCAGTGCCGTAGGCCTGCGTTTGGGTAAGGTATACCCATGGTTGATGATACACAGTGTTGTGCATGGCCAACTCAGGATAGTGTTTATATACTATTTTAGTAATCAACAGTGGAATGAAAAACAGGATTACGAGGCTGTGTAAATAGTTATTATGTGTTACTTACAAATATATTTTACTCTTTCAGATTACAGGTTTATTCAAAATGGCTTTGAGTAAGAAATCAATTACAGACAGTGAAATATAGGCTATTTTATGTGAGAGTTCTGATGATAAAGTGAACAATTTAGAGTTTGAAGAATTATATGACAGTGATATTGATGCTGAATATATGCAAGAACCTAGTGACAATGTAGTGTGTGTTAGCCCTGCCTTGCCTGTGGTAGGCCCTTCTACTGCACCTGCTGCTCCACCTGCTGTTGCCCCTGCTGCTCCCCGTGGATGACGATGATGCACTGTACCTCAAACCTTGTGATGAGTTTGTTGTATGTTTCAACACAGCTACCATTAGATCTAGAAAAGGCTTTATGTGGAGCACTAGGCCAAATGCAGGAGCAGTATGTACTCCTGCAAGAAATATATTACATGTTGTCTGGCCTGGCCCCTCCCAACAAGCTTCCCAAGCCGACATCCCAGAGAAGTCTTTCTCTTTGCTGCTTGTGAATGAAATCATCAATGAAATTGTGCAGTGAACCAACCAAAAAATAAACATTGATTCAGCAAAATACAAGCATTAGAAGGCCACAATACAACCCACAACACCTGAGGAGATAGATGCCATGTTTGGGGTCCTCATTTTTAGTGGGTACAGGAGAGATAACCAGCACTCCACTAAGGAAGTTTGGAGCCCTAAAGTTGGTTCCAATTTCTACAGGGTAGCTATGTCTGAGGGGTGCTTTACTTCCCTCTTCAACTGCCTATGCTTTGATGATTGTAATACCAGAGAACAGTGAAGAGGAACTGACAGGTTTGCCCCAATCAGGAAGGTGTGGGATATTTTCATCAAGGCTTGTGGCACACATTATATCCCACATGAGTTCCTGACTGTTGATGAGCAGTTGCTTGCCTTCTATGGCCGCTGCCCCTTTTGCATGTACATCCCAAATAAACCAGCGAAGTACGGCATCAAGATCATCATGGTAAATGATGTCAAGAGCAAGTACATGCTGTCAGGGATCCCCTATCTTGGGAAGCAGGGGACACAAGAGAAAGACGGGCAAAACCTTGGCCACACCAAGGACCTGACAAAGCGCTACCACAACAACAGGAATGTAATAACCGACAATTGGTTCACCTCTGTGCCCCTCATCCAGGATATGTTGCACAATTGTGGGATGATGCTGATTGGGACAGTCAGGGAAAACAAGTCAGAGATACCAGAAGAGATGAAGGACAAGACCACACGGGCTCCAGGTTCCAGTACCTTCCTGTTCACGAAGGACATGACACTGGCGTCGTAGGTGCCCAACACATCTTCCAGCAAGAAAATTGTCCTCCTCATGTCTTCAATGCATGGAGATAAGTCCTTGGCCAGCAGTGGAAAACCAACCATCATCGAGGACTACAACAGGACGAAAGGAGGAGTGGACACTTTTGACCAAATGTGTGGTCAATATTTGTGTGGCAGAAAGACCAAGAGGTGGCTACTCTGTGTTCTATGGCATGCTGAATGCTGGGGTCATTAACTCCTGGATCATCCATGGGGAAAATATGCAGAAGACAGGTGTCAGACAGATGAAGAGGAAGCAGTTTATGCAAGTGTTGGCTGAGGAACTGGTGAAACCCTGGGTAGTGCATTGCCTCTCAAGTCACACTCTGCCAAGGCATCTCAAGGATCATATATGCACTATTTTTGAGCTAACCACTCCCCTTGGACCTTCAAGAGTTTCTAGACTGCCTGCAGCAGACATGAGGGAGTCCATGGTGCGCTGTGTTGTCTGTCCCACAAAGGCAGACAAAAAAACACGCTTCCGATGTGTGTTCTGTCAATGAGCTATGGGTCCCAAACACTATTACACCAAGTGTAGCAACTGTATATGAGACTGTAAGTAGAAATGCACCTGAAGACTTTATTTACTTGTACATAAGAAATAGTAAGTTGCTACAGTCACTTTAGTTAAAAAAAAATTATTAGTGTAAAAAAGCGATTTTTGTGGTAGATAAAATAAGGCCTTTTTCTACGCCTTGTCCCTACAAAAGCTGCAACAGTTCAGGACCAGTACCCCCTTCAGTAGTGGCTCACAGGACCTGGAAAGTCGTATGAGGAGTTTGGAAGTCATTGGAGGATAATTTTTATTTATTTATTTTTTTTTTTAATTTGAAAAATTTTCCTATTTTTAATTACAATTTTCAGTACCTGATATTCTTACCTAAATAATATGTTTTTCAGTTCCTATAAATGTTAACCCAAAGTACAAAGTTTGAAGTGCCTACATGTAAAATATTTCAAATAAAGATTTATATTTAGTATTTTTTTTGGTATTTTCAAAATTGGGTATGATATAGCCATGGTTAGTAGTGGTGTAACTTTAATTAATGGTTAGTGCTCTAGGGTTAATGTGCTAATTTTGTTTATTTCTTAATGCACTCTTCCATAATGTAATAACACTTCTGGTTATTCAATGTGGGATTACTAACATCATAGCTAGCAAAATAAACCCAATTCTAACAAGAAACAAGGGATAAACATTTACTCCTGTTCAAAAGTCTTGTACAAAAGTGTGTGACCAGGCCAATAGTCCCATTTATACTCCTCCAATATTTATCCCTTGTTTCCTGTTTAGGACTGGATTTCCAGTTTCTTCTAAGGTGTTCTCATTCTCTTTCATTCCCTCTTGACTTAATGGCATTATTTCCTGGTTTGAGGTGAATTTATATATATATATATATATATATATATATATATATATATATATATATATATATATATACACACACACACACACACACACACACACACACACACACACACACACACATGCATGCTTTGCTGCTTTCTTATGTAAGGTTGGTGAACTTTGTTTCTTACTGAAACGAAATAAAGATTCCCATCACATGTATTGTCCTGTTCTTTTTGTGATGGCCTGAAGATTGGATTCAAGCATAAAACAAACTGTCACCACTTGGTGTTGACCTCAATGTTTACTTTTATATTTACATACACTATCTCTGATATTGAGCACTATTATCTATAAATATAGCATACCTTAAAACAATATTTTATCATATATATATATATATATATATATATATATATATATATATATATATATATATATATATGAAAAATTTCTCAGAGTTAACCTATATATATATATATACACACACACACACACGATTTTTGTAGGGAATATAATGATAAAATCAACTTGCTATTTACAGATTAGGAGCATAGAAAACCCATAGTATGATTTATTAGCAGATTACATAAGGGAAACTCTCATCAGAGTTGAATTTAAAATAATAAAAAAGCATACTGGTAAAGTATGCTGTTATCTGATTTTGTTGAAAAATACTATTAGCAGACAAAGTAGTAAATTAGTACAAAATGGTAGCTGGTACATAAGAGAATAATGAAATCAAAGCAGAATAGTATTGAAAGTAAAAACTAAAGTTATCAATCATTTTTAAAGCAGTTACTTGCTTTTTCAATGTTCTACAATATATATATCAACTTCTAACAATATTCTAGGCATCTGTGAAAATAAATGCTTATTTATAATTTTAAAAGAATCATAATAATATTAAGACTTCACATGAAACAGCACATATGCTGAAAAAACATGACAATAAATAAACAATTAAAAAAAAATACCATGACAATTCTTAATGTCATGAATTTAGATATTCACTTCACAATAAAGTAAAAGACAACAACTAACCACCGCCGAAGTCCAAGTTGACTTGGGTCTCTCTTGAGTATCTGAAAGATAGAAGAAAACAAAATAAAATAAAAATCTACATAATTTCAAACACATAAGTTAACATTCAGAGAACCACCCTTATATGAAGACTTATTGAGAAAAAATACTCTGGTATCTATGACATGGCCCTATGATGTGGGAATGGTTAGTCAAAAATTTTCATGATCATGTCATCCACAAAATGTGGATCTTCTGATCTGATTCAATGGATTATTATATCTGTGGTATTGTTGAGAGAAAGACAAAAAATACCAAGGACCCATTGAAGGCTACCATGGCGATGTGATGGCCAACATGAAAGAAGACCTCATCTGATATGACCATGTAGTCACTTCTGAGGTTACATCAAGGCTGGAGCCTATTTTTTGAATAACCTTTACTTACTTTTCTAAATTGAACATTTTTCTATTAAATATCCTTCATCCTCTTTACATTATTATTTCTTCTCAATTACCTGGTGCACCATATTAGAGCTTATTTAATTTTCCAGCAAAATATCAGTTGTCCTATCTAAATAATTAATTTTGAAAAATGTGTGAAATGTATAAAACTTTTCATCATTAAACATAGTTAACCTAATAATAATAATAAAGGCTATAGTTAATAAATCAACTAATATTAATATTTTAGAATAAACACAAACCTCTGTATACTTGAAGAAAGTGTACATTATTTGTAGTCCAAAAATAATTGGACTAAGGACAAAGTTTGCAATAGCTGCCCACAAGATCTGGTTGGAAAGTCTGGAAAAATTAAAAAATATTGAAAATACATTTAAAGAAAAATAAAATCTGAATCAAAATTTTGAGTATTACCAAAATCAAAATTAACAGAAAAAAAAACATTTTTCAGATGCTAACAATCTAAATAATTATAAATAGGATTTTTGAGATTCCATTTAAAAGATATATAATTAAATTCTAAAGCATATACAATATTTGTCATCTATTATTATATTCCAAAACTTGTTAATTTATATAAAAAGCAAATTATTTAATTTGTAAGTCATATAAAGAACAATTATATGAAGATCAAAATCTTTTCAATTTTTTTTATTTCTTTGAGAATAAATTAAATTACTTTTTCAGTTGAAAGACATATATAGACTTATATTTGTATATATGTGTGTGTGTGTGTGTAAAATAAATGACAAGGTAGAATACTGTGTACTTATCTTGTCATTTATCAACTCACTATTATTCAGATATACTTTTTCATATCATATTTTTATGTATATGAATGTGTTTGTGTTTTCATATCATATGTTTATGTATATAAATGTGTTTGAAAATGCTATTTATCAGTCAACTCCTATGACTCTAGTCTTTATTCAAATGGAATAAATTTACTGATGGATAATGATCCAGCATTGTGTTGATTCTAATGAAGTTTGACTTTTGTGATTCAAATCAAAGATGTATTTTCTTTGAACCAACATATTGAATATGCAATTCATAAATAATTATATAGACATAAAAATAGCATAAAAAAAATCAGCAACCAAAAGCAATTTAACTCTCGGTGCAGGAAAGTGTGACTCCTGTAATGGTTATTAGCATGGAAAATAGAGTCAGCAAATTGAATTCAAATTCTGGCCTAGTCTATTGTGCTCACTTTCATACGCCTTTAGGAAAGGCATGAATCTGTTTTTTTTTTCTCTCAACTATAGTTGAAATAGTATCAAGAGAAAGAGAACTCTAAATTCAAGGCTATGGAAAAACACTCATTATTATTTTTTCAATGAAGTCATGGAATTGCACACAGATTAAAGCAAAAGAAGTTGTAAAGATATCTGTCTATATTTCTGAGATGAAGTATTATGTACACTATTTACATTGTTCAGACTCTCATCCTCATCTTTGTTGCCATATTTATCACAATGTTTTGGCTGTTGTACACTCTGGCCTTCTTAAATAAAGTTTTAAATTGTCGTTTAAATTATGCAAAAATAACAATAACATCGACATCTCATTTTAACAGATATATTAATCAGAATTATACAAAAATATCTTGAAAAACTAAATAAAATTGCCATTGGCTTTAACCACGGCCTCCAGACGACTTCAGAATCTCTTACAACTCTTCTGGATCGTCTCCTTGTTTAAGTTGATGAATGCTGCCATAATCATTGCCTTCTGCTCAATTTTGGTGTCACAAGGAGTTTTGTTGGTCTTTAACTGCACCACACACATAATAAACAAGGCAGTTACACTCTGGACAGTTAGGTGGCCAGATGCAAGAGGTGATGTGGTCTCAGAAATTGTCTGACTGCAATGACTAAATTCTTGTTTGTATGGCATGGTCCAGAGTCCTGTTGCCAAATATAGGGTCTTCCAGCAGCCAACTGCTTGACTCAGGCAGCACTACCTCTTCCAGGCACTTGATGTAGGCCTCCGTGTTGAGTCTGAGGCTCTCACAAACAAATTTGGGAGTTCTTTTCTTATCAGAATAATCAGAGTGAGTTTTCCAAGCTGCTGTACTTTCATAATAACCATTAAACTCATCCAACTCTTTCTAAATCCTCTGCGCTATCTCCAGATTGACACTCAAGCACTCTGAAATGTTTGTGTTGGTGCTTCCAACATGAATGCTAAGCAGTATAGCATGCCGTTTTGAAACATCTGGTGCTGTGAATTGTGACATGGTGCTTTTTTTCTCATAGACAGTACCCAACTGACCATACTATACTGTGCAGTTAACAAAATTAAAAACAAACAACGTGCATTCGCAAAATAAAAAATGGCGACAATTTACCCATCGCACCCAGTATACCTATGACTACAGGAGTTAAATGTCACTTTTTTCTTGATTTGTAAATATTTAGTAAAAATAATTCAGTGCTTTAAAATAAGTAAAATAATGGTTTTAATACACACTTTTTATCTATTTAATTAGAATGTGCTATATAATTTGTATAAAAATTTATTTTCTCCAAATATTTAATTTTTTAAATAATTTTATTTCTAATATAAAAATCCATTTTAATTAAAATTATAAAAAAAAGTAAGCCTTTCAGATGAATTACAAATATTTAAGTTCCCAAGAATGAATTGATTCAGAATGAAAACTATCACAAACAAAAACACAGATATTTTTAATGGAATATTTTCTGACAACTGAATGCTTAAGTGTATAATGATAAAATTACAGTACTGAAATTAATTAGAGTAGTTCTGTTTGATGTCTATTGCTATTGGCTGCAAACAGAAAAATCAGCTGTCATTAAAAACATTTCCTTTCATTGTTTATAGTACCTTCATAATATCTTCAAAAGTCACAATTTCTCTAAGCAATCAATGCTTTGCTGAATCTTTTTTGTAAAATCAGTAAAAATCTTTACAAAATTTTAATCATTTGTACAACCTCTGACATTTCTTGAAACACTGAAATCTAACTACAAATATTTAATGACAAAAGGTAAATTAAAAACTTTAAATTTGCATAATGTCTTAATTTACTATTTTTTTTATTTGTTACTCAAAGTCTTCTCTTTAATACTCAAGTTTATTCAGGTCAGCATATTCTCTAAATTTTTATGGTATATACTGTCATCCTTGCATCAGCCATTACACAAAAAAGAAAAGTGGGTTGAAGTTACTTTGAGCAAATAGATATTTTTATTTTTAGGTTCTTTCTTTCCTCTTGTATTTTTCTTATGTATTTATATAACAAGGATATACAATTAAATTAGTAGGAAAGACTGATCAACATACACTGACTTTAAACTTCTGCTCATGTATACAATGGGCTAAAAAAGAAAATATATTTCACAAGTTAGCAAATGACAGTTTAATCAACCTCTTAGAAAAAAATTCTTCTTCTATGTACTGTGTCCCTTCAGGACGTAGGTGATCATGACTCTCCACTTCCCCCTATCCCTTGTAGCTCTCAATAAGTTTTGTCCCTTTGCTACTTTTCCCAGACCCTTTTCTGTCATTCACTTGCTTAAGTCTGCCAGGTATGTCATGCATTGCTTTCCCTTGTCTCTCTTTCCATCCATTTCCCCTGTGAGTATCAGACTCTCCAAATCCTCCTTTTTCATTACGTGTCCCAGAAATTTCAGCTGCCTCTTCCTGTGTTAATTATAAGCTTCCTCCTTGTTTGCATCCTCTCCAAAACCTCATGGTTGCTCACATGCTCAGTTCATGATATCCTTAGCATCCTTCTGTAGAACCATAACTCCATTGCCTTGAGTCTCTTCTTCATCTTTGAGGAGACTGTCCAACATTCACTGCTGTAAAGGAGGACAGATATCACACTGCAGTTCAGTACTCTTTTCTTTGTTATCAAAGAAATCCTCTTGTTTCATAATACTCTACCTAGCTTTTGGAATGTGTCTTTGGCCATCTCAATATATCTTCAGATCTCAGCATTGCACTTACTGTCCTCTGTCAGTGACACTTCCCAGATATTTACATTTCCCCACCTGCTTGATTTTAGTGTAAAATCACATTTTGGGCTTATCCTATCACTGATGACCATGCATTCCTTTCTATTTTTGTATATCTGTTGAAATCATTCTCTATCAGCATGCAGGCAGTTTGCTATCAGTATAGGTTCTTGATTATTCTAATATCTTTCCCAAATGTATCAAGGTTGCTGAGCAGTTCCAACAGATCTTTGTGGTGTACTTTGTCAAATGTCTTTGCATAGTCTATAAAACATGGATATACGTCCTTCTGCATTTGTATTGTTCTTTCTGATAACATTCAGAGTATGAATATTGCATTCCTTTTCCAGTGTCTTTAATGAACCCGCACTGTTCTTGTCTTATCTCTGGCCTCATTCTGCTGTGCACTCTATTCAGTAGAATATGGATGAGTTTTAGTATGTGACTCATTAGGTTGATTGTTCGGTGGAGTTTACATTTGTTTGCGCCTGGTTTCTTAGGCAGTGATATGAAAATAGATCTGAGATCTTCTGGTATATCCCCACTGTTGTAGACTTCATTTATTATTTCTGTAATCTTATCTATACCAAAAGGCCATACCATCTAAGGCTGTCAGCATTTCCGTTACCATTCCCTCTGCCACATTGTTTTTGTTCAATTTGGCCAGTGCAGCTTCTACTTCAGTTTTTAGAATTTCAGGCCCGTCAGTACTGTGTAGTACTCCAATATATTCATTCCAGCATTGAAGAATTTTTCTTCTCTAATATGAGCGTTCCATCTTTTGATTTTATGCAGCCTGTTGACAAGCATGTCTTCTGTCTTAGTTTACTTATTTGTTTATGCATATCTCCTTTGTTGGTGGTACTTGGGGGTTAGAGTTAGGGTTATTTAGGGTATCTCTATTTCTGCACATTCTTTGTTTAGCCACTCTTGTCTGCATTTGGTCCTTATTTCATTGTGTAATTTTCTGTACAAAAACAAAATATACAAGAGCAGAAACAAGAAACTGTAGTAGTAGTAGTAGTAGTAGTAGTAGTAGTAGTAGTAGTTGCTTACTTTTTGGCTAACTCCTTGCGTTTATGTATATTCTTATACTCACTCCTGAGGTGCCAGTTATCAAAAAAAACCATGGACTATCTGAAAAGTAGAAAAATAGTAAGAATAATAATGTTCTGCCAAAGTTTGTAAATCTCATGGAATTATATCTTTTTAAAATAATATCTGGAATAGTATCTTTTTTTCTTCATATAATTTATCCTATACATTGGCTATAAAGTAAGATAATGTTGTAATTTTAGAGTCTTTATAAATCATGCAAAAGCATTTGATAAAGTATGTCAGAAAGAATTAAAAGTATTACTAGGACTCATTACTGGCAACTACCACCTTAACATAAGATATGTCAGTGTTGATAGCAGACATGAAAAGTAAACTACAGGCACACTCCTATAGAAGCAAGTAAAGGAAAATGAGAAGAAAGGACCAATCATCATTTGTCAGAATTTATGGTTGTCAGCAAAAGGAAGAGAACCCAATATACAAACTACAAATTGGAGACAAAAAAATAAGACAAATACAAAAATTTAAATATCTGGGAAATGTTTTAACAGAGGATAGAAAATTGTTATAAAATAAAATAAGACATATCTAACATTGATTTGCAGGCAAATAAACTAACATACTCAAGAGTGAGAGCCAGATGTTAACGGCCCTGTCACAAAATGACCATTATTGCCGTTTAGATAAGCCCAACTATTTAGTTCAGTCGAAAAATAAAAATAATATTTTAAAAGTGTTTCTATTTTTCATCCAATAAAATTCTCTTCCTCCTAATTATACTCGCAAAGTGATGTTTTATGAGCCTGTTAAGTGGTAAAAAAAGCCATAAAAGGGACACATTTGAAAGTACAACAGCAGTCAACAGAGGCCAAGGAAGAGACCTGTCATGGTCAGTCAGCATCTGTCAGCAGGAGGGCGCCATCAACAACCAGTGTGAACTACTATGAGAGATCAACCCAGACCGGGAGCCAGCTTATGAACTATACCACAAGGTAGCTGTCCCAAACCTACACATTCCTATTGAAATAAATCACGTAAATCTATTTCTGCTGTTGTCGTTTCCTTCTTGCAACCATACGCTTGTCTATAACAAAATGCAACACCAAAATCCAAAGGCACATTGGATGCCTTCCAATAGTAAAGTATTAAGAAACAGGAAAATTTCATTTTAAACAGAGAAAAGAGTACTGGACTGTTATTTAATTACAGTCCTCCTCTATGGCAGTGAATGCTGAACAATCTCCTCACAGATGAAGAAGAGACTTCAGGCAACAGAAATGTGGTTCTACAGAAGAATTCTGAGAATATCATGGACTGAACATATTAGCAACAACAAAGTTTTAGAGAAAATGGAAGCAAAAAGGATACTTAAAATCAGAAAGAGACAACTGAAATTTCTAGGGCACATAGTGAGAAAAGGGGGTTTGGTAAATTCAACATGCACAGGACACATTGAAGGTAAGCAAGATAGAAGAAATCAGTGAATAACCTACCTAATAAGCTTTTTTTTTTAGGATTAGGAAAGAGAGCAAAAAGACAAACATTGCTAAGAGTTGTAGAACAGGAAGTTGTGGAGAAGCATGATCACCTATGTCATGAAGGGACACGGCACATAAAAGAAGAAGAATTTTAGGCCAAGTGGCTAGTTAAGGACAATAAGGTTCAGTAATATGAAAATCTCTGCTTGAAACACAAGATTCAATATTAGTTGCTTCAGTTCCTCCCAAAAAACAATTAGATTCTCATTCAAGGGTAATTATTTGCACCAAAGAGAATTGTCACTTAGACATTTTAAAATATTTAAAATTTTATTGTTTATTTACTAATTATCTGTTTAGATGTACTCCTATAGGCCACAAACTATTTTCAATTATGTTTTTAGGACATTGAGGATAAAAATGCAAATTCTATCACAAATCAACTACTTTTCTAGGTTGTTAATCAAATATTATCTAAACGAAAATTTTTATTATTTATTTTATTCTTTAACTATGCTATGAATCCAAGTTATGAATTAAAACAATAAGACAATATTGCTTTCATAAATATGAATTTCACTAATTTCAGGTGAATAATTGTAACTTTTATTCCTTGGTAGACAAATTCTACCATTAGTTTTCTAAAGTTTGTTACAAATATTCAACTCAGAGAATATAAGTATGGACCAGTGGTTATATATATATATAAAACAGCTGAGAAGTCTGAGGTTTCTTATCAGATACCAGATTGGTGAGGTTCAGTAACACACATGCATTTACAAAGTGTACCAAGCATAATGATAAGACTAATAGTGAGAAAGTTTTGAACTTCATTTACCAGGTTGATGATGAGACTCATTGGTATACTAACTAGAAGAAATAGCTTATGCAGATAAAACTGATTGATAGAGTAAAGGACTAACTACTAAATTTTGAAGTTTATTTTCAGGTGCTGGGTTGATGGAATTTCTTAAAATACAAACAACAAGGAAGAAAGGCAAATGTATTGCATTCAATGGTAATGGAAAATATATCTAAAACACATCATGTTTTATATTATGTGTCAACAGATAGAAATTTATAATAACAGAAGCTTAAAATTTTACAAGTACCACTCAGTGCTGAAGCAGATGACAAGTGGCCAAAAATCTGAAGTTTTATTTTTATTGCAAATCTTATAATAGCATTTACCAAAAAGAGAAAACATTTGCAATCAATTTCTTTTTATATTGGCAAAATTAATGTCATAGAGAAGACTGTTCTTTTGTCACCTCTTAATATGTTTTGTGGAAATGGCTGATTATGATAATTTTTAACTGAAAAGTATAATTTATAAGATTATTAAACAAATGAGAGATGAGAATTTAGATGACCTATATGAAGTATTTCTCAAATCATGATACCAAACATTTTAATCAACAATAAATTATGTTTATAATATCTCAGCTATAATGAAATCCAAGAATATTTGTAGTTAATAGATAAATAAAGTGAAAACTTACAAAAAAGAATCATCTCGATATTTGTTTTCAGACCAGTACTCAGAAAAACACTAAAATAAAATAAAGAAATTTTGATATACGATAAAATATATAAAGAAAATATATATAAAAGAAAAAAATAGATAGATGGGAAAATATAAATTTATTAAAATAAAATGAATTCATTCTAACAAAAAAAAAAAAAAATTATCCTTTTTATATAGAATGATAAAAATTTCCTATGAAAGATTAAGAATGAACTTACCACTCGCCAACAAACGGGAGCCGGAACTTGAGGGGCAACAAAGACTTATTGACCATAGCAATCATATAGTTCTTGAACCTCAGGATCCTGTGATAAATATCTAGAAATTAGAAGAATCATTTTCATCAAATCTGATTTGTGTTATGCTTATGTTATACATATAATCTGTGATATGTTCTGTTAATGTATTTAATAATAAAATGTTAGGAAAATAAATTCATTTTACAAATGTTCCAGTATTTGGCATACTTCTGAATGATTTGGGTTGTGCAAGGAAACTGATGCATGTCATGTTCAATCCTACTTTTGATAATTCAAAAAATGTTATTAATTTTTCATTCTATATTTTTTTTTTTATAATTTCAGTGTTTTTCAGTGTAATTTAAGCGCATGTATAATCATTTGCTAATATTTAATAGCTAAATTTTTTTATAAAATTGCATGACTAAGCTAATTCAGTTACTTTAACTTTCCCAAAATTTGTAATGAATGTTAAGTTCAAATTTTACTTTGTAGTTCTAACAAAATGATGATGTGACACTGAGTTTCTCTCTAGTAGAAAGTACAAGATGAATCATTTTTGTGATTGAAAACTTTTGCTTTATTCAAATGTAAGATAGAAAGAGAAAAGGACATTGAACAAAGTATAATTTTAAGTTCTCCAAGTCAAATAAGAGACAAACTATTCTGGTTTTAAAATCATCTAGCCACTTTCAACAATGTAGTTGTTGTGTTATACCCTGTACACTTTAAGATGTTAATGTTAACAAAGGACAAACAAATATCCTACAAATCCTCTCCAAGTAGGGATGTTTTTACACTCTGACAACTATGGTTTATTAGTAACAGGTTTCCTGATGAATATACTTAGATGATGTGACTAATTTACATGTGTTGTCTTCATTTAACTGTGATACTATGGATGCTAGAGTTGGTCATTTTGGCAATTTATGTTTTGGTATTGGTTTCTCTTCTTTTTTTTTTTCCTTGATACTGCAGTTTTCAATTTGGTTTTTCAGTTTTTAATTTAGTATTTTTGCTTTATAATGAAGCTATTCATTTTCTTGTGTAATAATAGCATTTCCAGTTGATATCTGATTTCATTTGAGATTGATGAATTTGCAACTTAGTCTGTTCAACTCACAATTTCTTGTGTATTTCTGGTCCAATCTTAAAAATATTCATATGGCTGGAAAGAAAATAAAATAATCTTTCTAAATATGTAATTTGTACGTGCTTTTATTCATTGGATTATCTTTTTACAGTGAGTTAAAACGGTATTTTCCTTTGAACAGCCAAAAGTGTGAAATAGGATTTTTTTTTTAGACTAAATTTCTAACACATTACTTTGTTTCGCAAAATCAAAGTAACCAATCTTTATTAATATTCTTGAAATTGTACACTCAATTAGAAAACATCTTAAACTATAACCAGGAAGATGTTCATTTCTTCTCTGACCTGTGGAAGTGAAGTCCTTCAAAAATTATAAAGTAAGCAAAAAAAAAAAAAAAAACAACAACAACTGATAGTAATAAATGTGTGATAAAAGAACTTTCAAATAATTGAAACTACTCTCTGACACTAACAGACACTTGTTTTAAGGCAATTAATCATTTTATTTAGAGGCAAAGAATTCTTCTGTTTCTATTCAGAAATGCTGATAATAATTTGCTTTTAAAAAAACAAAAAATAAAACTCCTCATGTTTAAAATAATTAAAAATAAGGCAATTATTTTCTGGTATGCCAGTCAACTTGTTATTGTGGTTTTGCAAATAAATTTCTTCTAAACAAGGAAAATTAATGAGTTATTTTTCCCCTAAATAAATTTTATCTAGAGAATACACCT